AAGGACAAAATTTATTCCAAAACAATTCAAAACGAAGAGCTGCTGAGATAGCCCAATTGAGTTTAAGATCTCTAAAAGCGTATTTTCTTAAAAGATGCCGAGCTTGTATTAGAGTAGAAGGTCACAAATTTGAGCATATTTTAGCAATAAATGAATAAATTTTTCGTCAAACAACTCATGTATATTTTATTTCACGTGGACCCATCCTTCACAAAAAATATTGATAGATATAGCCCTTGTTATAGACTCTAGTCCGAATTCCGGTAAGTAACATAAAATAATATCAGGAGCAGGTAATAATGTACCTTTGTACTATCTAGCATGTCATTGGTCGTCAAAAGCGGCTATAACTTTTTTTTCTATTCGAAACAGTAAGAGTGGCACCTTTCTGAAATCTTTATTAAATGAGCAATTTTTTTATGTAATGTAAAGTTATAGCTCAGTACATTTTTTTTTACCAGAGATTGTCAAAGTTGGGGAAGAAAATATCAAAATGTTAAAAATCCCAAAATAGTCATAATTTTATGATGGTTCCTTAATATATTTTAACTACATTGCATTTGAGTATGGAGAGGCAACTATCTGGAAGTATTTTACATAAAAAATTTACTAAGTATAGCTTAGTTTGTAGATGCAGTTAAAGAAAATACATGAAAATACACGATTTTTTTTAATTCAAAATTTTTTAAATATTTCAAAACCGGTGACACTTTTACCTGAAATTTTTTTGTTTATCAGGGAGCTCACCCCTGCACTAAAAATTAAAGACAAGAACATTGATAATTTTTGGAATCGAGTACAGAGCGCATATGATTTAGTAAAAGAGACTGAGGAGCAGGACCTTCCCGAGGACTTCAAAGCCTCCGCTTATAATAAAAACAGGTCATGCCTCATAACGTATGAAGATACGAAAGCCCAGATTGGTGATCAACTCCTGCTTCTTAATCAAGTCAGCAATACCACGCCTACTCCCACGAAAACTCTAGCTTCGGCTTAAAGGTCCCACCGTGCGATACGGAAACATTTTATGGGGGTTATGAGCAATGGCCGTCTTTTCGTGACATGTTCACGGCGGTATATATTAATCACCCAAAACTCACAAAAGCTCAGAAATTGTACCATCTCTGGTACAAGACTCAAGGCAAAGCCGGCCAAATAGTGAAACAATTCCCACTGAGCGATGATAATTTTGATCTGGCATGGGAAGCGTTACGGTCTCGCTATGAGAATAAAACAGTATTAGTTGACAAACAAATACGTATTCTCATGAATTTAAAATCTATTCAAGTGGAGAACAGTGAAGATATTCAAAAACTCCAATCATCAGTGAATAACTGTCTCCAAATTCTCGCCACCCAACAAGTCTCCACAGAGAGCTGGGACCCCATAATAATTTACCTCGTCACCTCAAAACTTCTTGAGAACACAGTGGCTCTGTGGGAGCAATCTCTCAGTTCCAGGAAAGACCTTCCGAACTGGTCCCAAATGAACCAGTTCCTAACCACTCGATATGAGGTGGTCGAAAGGGTTGATCAATGGCGCCCAGCGAAACCAAGACCCAATCCCCAAAATTACATTTTATTTAGAACCCCTCAACCGCACAACAGACCCCCCTTCAAACCTTCTCACTTTCAACAGTCGCATAATAAATCATCGACGCAAGTCCAATCGCATGTGACAGAACAGCGTACGATGTATAAATGTTCCATGTGCAAAGATTCCTCGCACTCATTGTGGAACTGCCACAGGTTCCGTAAATTGTCGGTTCAGGATCGCAGAAAATTCGTAAGAGAAAACAACATGTGCTTTAACTGCCTCTCTCAGTCACACTCCCTGAAAGATTGTCCAAGTACTCAAACCTGCTCCAATTGTCGAGAAAGACACAACTCAGTGCTTCACTATAGCACAGCCCCTCCGCCAAAAAGGCAAGACTCTCGAGTACAAAGGACCACATTGCAGGTAGCCATGACTGATATGCCAAACCCCAACCTGCAAGCCCCACAAGAAACGGAAGAACAAGATGATTTACCGTCAAGTTCTAATGGAACCAGAGTACAATCGTACTACTCTGAAAATGAGAGCAAAGTCCTTCTCCCTACAGCGATAGTCTCAGTAGAACAGAGAGGAGAACTCTTTAAACTCCGAGCTCTCATCGACCAGGGCTTAGAACGGAGTTTCATTTCTTCTAAGGCCCAAAACAAACTGAGATTACCATGTCAAAGCTCGAACTTTGAAATATCCGGCATGGGTGGGACAGTAGTTCTGGAATCCCAACTACGAAAGTTCTGGGAGGTAGAAGAAGTTCCGACACCCAACCTCATGAGTCCTGAAGATAAGCTATGTGAGGAATTATACCAATCCACTACATCGCGCACGCCGGAAGGTCGCTACGTAGTCCGGCTCCCTTTCAAGCCAAGTTTGCCGAAGGAAATATCTCTAGGTCAATCTCGCACCACAGCTCTCCAGCAATTTTTCAGTATGGAGAGAAGTCTTCAAAAAAAAGCGGACCTAAAACCCCTGTATGATAATGTCTTAGGGGAATATCTCACCCTAAATCATATAGCAGAAACAACTTCCTATANTAAGAGAAAACAACATGTGCTTTAACTGCCTCTCTCAGTCACACTCCCTGAAAGATTGTCCAAGTACTCAAACCTGCTCCAATTGTCGAGAAAGACACAACTCAGTGCTTCACTATAGCACAGCCCCTCCGCCAAAAAGGCAAGACTCTCGAGTACAAAGGACCACATTGCAGGTAGCCATGACTGGTATGCCAAACCCCAACCTGCAAGCCCCACAAGAAACGGAAGAACAAGATGATTTACCGTCAAGTTCTAATGGAACCAGAGTACAATCGTACTACTCTGAAAATGAGAGCAAAGTCCTTCTCCCTACAGCGATAGTCTCAGTAGAACAGAGAGGAGAACTCTTTAAACTCCGAGCTCTCATCGACCAGGGCTTAGAACGGAGTTTCATTTCTTCTAAGGCCCAAAACAAACTGAGATTACCATGTCAAAGCTCGAACTTTGAAATATCCGGCATGGGTGGGACAGTAGTTCTGGAATCCCAACTACGAAAGTTCTGGGAGGTAGAAGAAGTTCCGACACCCAACCTCATGAGTCCTGAAGATAAGCTATGTGAGGAATTATACCAATCCACTACATCGCGCACGCCGGAAGGTCGCTACGTAGTCCGGCTCCCTTTCAAGCCAAGTTTGCCGAAGGAAATATCTCTAGGTCAATCTCGCACCACAGCTCTCCAGCAATTTTTCAGTATGGAGAGAAGTCTTCAAAAAAAAGCGGACCTAAAACCCCTGTATGATAATGTCTTAGGGGAATATCTCACCCTAAATCATATAGCAGAAACAACTTCCTATAAAAAATCCTCAGAAGGAAAATATTATTCCTTCTATCTCCCCCACCACGCGGTTGTCAAACCCGAAAAAGGACCACCAAGGTACGTGTCGTATTTAATGCATCACGAAGATCAGGTTTCGGACTCTCTCTTAATGATGTTTTCTATACCGGCCCAACACTTCAACCCGATCTGATGCTATTAATCCTCAAATGGCGCACGTATCAGTTTGTGTTCAATGGCGATGTAGAAAAAATGTATCGTCAGATACTTTTACATAAAGACCACCAGAATTACCAGAGAATTATATTTAGATCATCTGCAAGCAGCCCCATTCGAGACTACAGGTTAAAAACCGTGACATTCGGTGTAAATTGTGCACCATTCCTCGCAATACGCACTCTTCACCAACTCTCTGATGATGTAAAAATAACACATCCTTTGGCGGTGCCAATACTAAAAACCGAAACATATGTGGACGACATACTTTCTGGCGGCCATGACCTCATCTCAGCAACTAAATCTCCCTCCCAAGTCCCTTAAAAAAGATCACGGCGAACCACCCTGATTTGCCCAAAGACATAAAAAAGGAGGACTTGCTTGAGAGCAACTTTCTCGAATTCGAAAAAGCAAGTATCACCAAAACCCTCGGGATTCAATGGAATGCCATTACTGACTCCTTCTCTTACACCATCAGCCTCGTCGGCGAGCACAAAGCGACATATTCTCTCTTNGGCATTGATTGGAGATTTATCCCCCCTGGCAGCCCTCACATGGGCGGATTTTGGGAATCCGCCGTCAAAAGCTTCAAGTTACACCTCAAACGAATGGCTGGAGCACACAAATTCACGTTTGAAGAATTCGCCACTCTTTTAGTTAGGATCGAAGCGGTATTAAATTCTCGGCCCATCTCCGCTCTCTCCCAAGATCCCACGGAATTCACGGCCCTCACCCCTGGCCATTTCCTAAGGGGAACTGCCCTCTTGTCTCTCCCGGAAGTAGACCATAGCAATTTGTCTCTTCTCAATAGGTGGGAGAGGGTTAAAGTTGTGCACCATCAATTCAGCCGCCGTTGGAAGGAAGATTATCTCAAAGACCTTCAGAAACGTTATAGATGGAAAGACACTAAAGTTTCACCGAAAGCTGGAGAATGCGTTCTCATTATAGATGATACGTTGCCGCCCACTGAGTGGCGTCTGGGACGCATAGAAAGGACCCATCCCGGTCCAGATGGGCATATCCGTGTCGTTGACGTACGCACCAAAACCGGCATTCTCACTCGGTCTATTGTAAAGATATGCCCTNGCGTCTTGGACGCATAGAAAGGACCCATCCCGGTCCAGATGGGCATATCCGTGTAGTTGACGTACGCACCAAAACCGGCATTCTCACTCGGTCTATTGTAAAGCTATGCCCGTTGCCATACGCTAATGGTCCTCCAACACCCACAGCAGATAACTAAACCGATTTTCACCGTTCATGTTGATATCTCTCGTCTTGAACGGCCGCCCTATACCCACACTGCTTCCATACATTTGTTTACCACAATGACTTGACAGGCAATACACCTATAAGCTTATCCCTCTGCCTTATTAACCAGTGTCTAACATCCCACTATTAAGCTATTCGCAAATCCCTATTTGCAGATGGAGATGGACAAGCCTCAGCCGGCACCACGCACTTTTGCTTCGTCGCAGGGGAAGACCGACACACCTAAGCCAGCGCCACGCCCCTCCACTTCGTCGCAGGGGAAGGTTGATACGCCTCAACCGGTGCCACGCCGTGCCTTGTCGCCGAGGGTAGTACTGCCGATGGATGGGGTTCCAATCCCGGCACCTACTCAACCTATAACTGGCGAACCATCAGCAACAGACTTTCAGAGATGTCGTCTTTGTGCGCGCTATCATGCGCTCAGAGTATGCCCAGTTTTTCGGGCCATGCACCCACAACAGAGGTTCCTCATCGCGCGAGCTCATCAGTTCTGCACAAACTGTCTCGCACTCTCCCACGCTACAAGCGCGTGCACATCAAGCGGAAATTGTAGAACATGTGGCCAATATCATCAATGCATAGAAATGACTCCAGCACCTCTGGTCGCCGGTTAAAGCCGCCTGCACGCTACCCACCGAGACTTGCTCGGAACATTGACTCCGCATTTACTGGGCGTCTCCAGCACAAAGCCGCGCGGCAGAACAAGCACCCAATCTAACGCACTACACCAAGAATTCGAAACATAACGCCGAAAGGAAGAGTCACCAAACGGCTGGTGCATGAAGCGATGCGAACCCTGAAGGAGCTGAAAGACGCTCTAGCCGCTTAGCGCGCCTAGGGGGGGCAGGGTGGCTAAGCGAGGACTGCTTAACCAGTCAGACACCCAAAATTCTGTAAATTCTATAAAGTTAGCATTCCATTGAATTGTATTTGAATTCCTAATCATGTACATATTTGCACTACTATTTGAAATTTACTCATTAGTTGTACTTAGTTATTCATATGTGTATTAAAATTACATGCTTATTGTACACACGCATTCATACATCATATTAACATATTTATTATATCCATTTATTTGCATAACGTACTTAGCTTAAACTCGCTATTTGAATTATTGGATTATTGTACTTAATATTTTTGAAGTCTAAAACTCCCCTAACGTTTAAACAACTTTAAGTAGCGATATAAGTAGTTGGTAACACTGATGCCGATAAGGCACGCCCCCTTTGACAGCGCACGAAAGGGAATAAGAAGAAATGACATTTCGTTGTCAGAATCAGAATTTTTCTCGAAAAACCCTAATTTGTATACCGCGCAATCGGTATTCCGCCTAGTTGAATAAACTCTTAAAAGTTGGTGAATAAATTGTAAAGTTAGAGCGAACATCCGTGTTTTATTTTGAAACATCCACCCGCCGCGTCGAAAATCCAAACGCGCCGTCCGATAATCATCGCCCCTACGGTTTGTGCATCCAAAAAAAAGACAGCAGTCACCGCCAGTTGCAGTATTGCCGTCCGCCACCCGTTCCCCAAATCGCCGTTCGTCAGCAGCTCCCGCATCATCGCCTGCCGCCAGCTTTTGCATCGCCGCCTGCCACCACCTACCACATCGCCGCCTGCCACCATCGACCACATCGCCACCACCACTAGTTTCCTGGTTCGCCAGCACCCCCACATGAGGGTCAGCTCACCCCCCGCCGTTGGGTCATCTCGCCCTATTCCCCGAAAAGGCCTACAGCCTAAACAATATGAAATAAATCATTTTAATGCGGGAGTTGTAAAATTTTGGTTAAAAACCATCGAAAAAATTTTCGCAATCGAGTCGATTTCAAATTTTCGAATTTAAGAACATGCCTGTAAGTTTTATTAAGAACATGATCCTGAATACGAGCTAGAGCTGCAAAATTACCGATGTTCGTTACCATCGATGTTTTCAAAGCCAAATATCGATGCACTATCGATGTTTCCCGAGCAGAGTACATTAACACATATCGTCGTTTAAAGTACAAAACCGCGTATCAACAAAATGCAAAACCGCGTATCAAGATAATGCAAAACCGCCTATGTATTAAAAACACTCATATCTCAAAGTGGTTCTCTTTTCTATAAAGCAATCGCATTTCTGGCTAGTATATCTCAGGACGAATAGATAAAGGTTGAGCCAAGAGCTTATGTGAGCAAATCCAATTTTTGGCAGAAAATGTCAGTTACGCGGCTTTGCAGAATGACGATACGCGGTTTTGTACTTTAAACGACGATATATCGCTTTTTTACTTCAATAGTATCATTATCAAAAAGATACAAATTTTGAGTTGAGTATGCAGATATTACCGCTACCTCTTCTTCTATGTTGTGCAAAAATCTTATAGCTGTACTGATTACACTCTGCAACAAATTTCAAAAAGTTGGAGGTGATGAGAATCAGACCAATAGCTGGTCAAATACTCAAAAAGTACCAAAGGATTTGAAAAAGTTGGTTACCATTTCTTTTTTATCTCAATTTGAAGTTGGCGAAGTAAATGAGCGATATTTACCTTTGGGGGTCATTAGCGCACACAAGGGGTGGGTTTTGGGGTTCAAACCCCCCTAAAGCTCATAACCTAAAATATAAACAGTATCTAAAAGTTTAGTACCCAGCTCTCAAGAAAAATTACAAGAAATATTTTTATACCCGAGCGCACTTGTGCACAAGGGTATTATAACTTTATTCACATAACGGTTGTTTGTAACAGGCAAAACGAATCGAGATAGATATAGACAAATGTATACATAAATGATCAAAATGACAAGAGAAATCGATTAAGCGGCGACTGTCTGTCCGTCCGTCCGTCCGTCCGTCTGTGCACACGATATCTCGAGTAAAAATTAAGATATCTTAACGAAACTTGGTATGTGTACTCCTTTCGGGCGTAGGACGGATGGTATTGAAAACGGGCGAAATCGGATAATAACCACGCCTACCTCCCATATAACGGTAACTTTCAGAAATACGAAAATTGCGAAATTTTAGTAACTACTGAAGATTATTCACTCAAAATTGATATTTACAATAATTTTTAGACGAAAAATAAGAATATTATAAACTTTTGAAAAATGGGCGTAGCCACGCCCACTTATGGTTACATGTGTATATCTTGGTAACCGTTGCACCGATTTCTTCCAAACATGGCACAGTTATTGGCCTTGATACAGGATACCACATGGCCGAAAATTTTTAAAATCGGACAATAACCACGCCCACATCCCATATAACGGTAATTTGGAGAAATAAAAAAATCTTCGATAAATCAGTAAATGTTAAAGCTAATTTATTAAAAATTGATGCTTGCAACAATTCTTTAGCAAGAAATACGTCTATGATAAAATTTTAGAAAATGGGCGTGGCACCGCCCACTTATGATCACATATATGTATCTCGGTAACCGTTCTACCAATTTGTACCAAACTCGGTATGGTTATTGTGCTTGCCACATAAAATCAAAACGTTCAAAATTATTGAAATCGGACTAAAATTACGGCTTACGGTAAATTTTAGAAATGCTTGAAACGTCAATATTTCGAAATTTAAGGACGCTAATTTACTCAAAATTGATACACCCCGGCTTACCCGGTAGCTTTCGGAAAGGTGAAAATCATATATTTAATATTTGCGCCGGGTATTTAATGTTCGGCTCCGGCCGAACTTAGACTTTCTTACTTGTTTATTATTTCTGTTGCTTGAAAAAGTACTTTGCTTTTTTTCTTGAAGAAATAAATATACGAGCATTTTTTTCTAGCGAGATGCAAACTGATTTAAGAAATTATGATAGAAGAAAATTTCTTTTCCATTTCTTGTGCGTCATTGGCTGCATTTCTTTATTCACTCTGAACGTTTGGAATAAGCTTTTTTGTTTATTTATTCTTTAGAACGTTCCTGTTGATATGTTGACGTATATTTCAAACGCATTCTGTTTATTCCGGCTGTGAAATGGGATTATCCGGAATGTATAAAGAAACGCAGCCATTGTATACGAATTTTTCGTTTTTCTTGAGAGCTCTTAAAAGTTTAACTGGGAATGAAAACATTGTCCTAAAAATGTGCATTGCATACTCCCTTACTGTTGCTTTTTACACTTTACAGCATAAATAACATTACCACTGATATGTACTTAACAAGCATTCGAAGATTTAATTTGCCAACTTCGTTTCGTTCCACCAAAATGACCTGCATAATAAAAATGCAAGTTCAGTTAATATTTTCGGTATTCGAAATATTAAAAAAATTTGGCAATCGTGAAAAATCACCATCTCCATCGAAAACCAGAAACCAGAAATCGAGGAAAATGAACATTAAAACTATTTTTTAACATTTTTTTGATTATTTTTTAAAGGTGAGCGCATCTTGTGTTTATAGAACTTTATATTAACCAAGTAATTTTCAAATTATGGGACGACCCTTGAGGTACCATCTTTCGGATAAAAGAAAAAATTATGGAAATCGGTTCACGTGGTCAAAAGTTATGCGGTAGCATACATAGAAAAATAAAATTATTCCGACGAATTGACAACCTACCCCTTTTTTGAAGTCGTTAAGAATGTTTGAGTTCTTTGTTAATTTTATGTAATTAAAGTGCAATTTATGAAACTTCAAAAAGTTTATTTCGTTATTACATACTGTCCATAAAACTTGAATAAATGTACTCTCCCTCCCCTCTCCAAAATATATTCCAGGGTGCGCCCCTGCACTACATATTTTAATTTTTCTATAATATCTGTATTTGGTAAAAATTTATTATAAAGTGGCTGATATCACAGTTGATTTAACGCAGGGATGGGCAGATTTTTGGATCTTAAAGCAGTCAAAAAGCCTGCAAGTGCTATGCATGAAGGAAAGTAGTTCTCAGCGTAAAGGGGTATAAAAAAACATTTATTAGTAATGAGAGTCGGAGTACAAGAAATTGTATTACCCTTCATGCTGGCTCTTGATGTATCTCCTCATCTAGCACCTAAATGTACCAACCTTACCACAGAAGTTAAAATGGAATCGAAATAGGCGATGGGAATCACTTACACTTTCATTGGCCGTGATCCTTTACCAGCAGCATTACCTTCGAACGAAGGGAGAACGCATGGATAAACAGAGAAGCGAACAAAGAATGCCTTACAGAGAAACTAATGTAAAATGCCTAGATAAGTACATACTTTTGTATATTAAATTGAAAACAAAAAATAGAGATTGTTTTAAAAAATTAAAATTAATTAAAATTTGTATAGATCAGTTTTTATACACTGGGGTGGCTCGTTTTGCCATTTTTTCTCGGAGCGGATTGTAATACCCGGTAAAAGTGGCCCACCCACATGGACATTACAGGTGTGTATTCTTTTTTTTAAATCTCATAATATCTTCTGTTAGAATTTACGCCTCGAAAATTCGAAATTTCTACTAAAATACAATATTTTCATTATTTTCACAGATTACATAGAATAAGGTGACCATCTTTTTGGTTTAGAAAATGTAAACTTCACTAAAAATTAAAATTCAAGTCACCTAATTGCAGCATTATGGCCCTAGCAGGTCTGAGAGTTTGCTATATCGACTTCAAAGTTCAGATAATTTAGTACAATTCAGGGCTATCACTGAATCCGTCGTAGTGCGAATTTTCGTGAAATC